CCAGTCATCTCCCGTTTCTTCATTTTCTTTCTTATGGGCTCAGAAAATGCTCTTCCTTCTCCTCCTCCTCCTCCTCCTGTTGCCGGAGCTCCCAGGGCTGTGAGCAGAAATCTAATGAGACCCGACTGCCTGGTTATGTAACTCCCCACACTGCTTAAGGCTCCTGCCTTTAACCCCCAGCGCCAGGGCTCTGCTACTGGAGCAGTAAATGGGCTCGGATCCCTGAGAAATATTGTCCTCTTTAAATTTAAGGAAAAAAAAAAAGTTTTAAATGATCAACCTGATTTGTTTGATCAGCTGCTTGTACCATGGATCAGTTTTGGGGCTTAGAAAAATTTATAGCGTCTGCCCAGTGCACCTTGAAAGGATCATTTCATTCCTAAAGGACATGGAGGAAGGGAAACAAAACAGATGGATTAATAAATCATTTTTAAATGCCCCTTATAACCACCCAATCAGCTTTTCTGTACTGATTGTGTCCCTTTTGTAAATATCTTCTGTTTGCCCTTGATCTTTTCCTTATCCCCACCCAGTGCTGATCCAGCAAACGTTTAAAGGTCGCCTTATCGTACAGGCTTTCAAACTATTCCCATACCATGTTGGGGAGAACACAAGTGGCTTGGAAATAGGGTTCCAGACTTTAAAAGGAGATTGTTTGGAGCAGGAAATAAAATAACATTGTATTCATATTGTTAAAAGATTTTGATGTTGACTTTGATTTCTCTAATCTTTAGTGACAGCTATACTAAATTTTGTTCCTAGTGATGCAGTGCAGAAGAGCACGCACACTGAAATTCTCGTTGGGTGTTTAACTTGAGCCAAAAAAATACATATTTTGTTTCATTGGAACTTTTTGAACAAAGGTGTCTCCTGTGGATTGAGTACCTTATTCAAAGGTACTGCGGAATTTTCGTTAGCAGTACGTGTGCTAACGCTTGATTCTTGTCCCTTCTTTAACTTCAGCTAGCTAATTTCTCTTTTGTCCTTTGGAAGGAGTGGCAACCATATTTTATATTAAATATAAAATGGAGTCATGGAAAAGGAGAAAAGCAATTGTTTTTGAGGCTGTCAAAAGCTCTGTTAGCTCCAGTAACTTTTTGAAATCTGTACTATAGGCAACACAATATATGAATTTAGTATCTATTAATATATTGTATCTGATAATACAGAGTAATTTGTAGAAAGGGAAAAATTTGTGAATTAATGTATTGTAATAATTTCACCGTCATTGCCACCCTTATGACAGAAGATACATGCATCTATTTTGTATGCATTGACCGCATTATCGTTTTACCTACTCTGAGGAAGAATTGTTGTATATGTACAGCGGACATTTTCTCTTCAGTTAGCATAATTTTGCCAGCACGCAGTTTATGCAGATGGTTTGCTTGGACTTCAAGTAAATGTTGCATAATTGTAGTTATTTGTGTGAAGTCTTCTAAAGCAACTTGTTAACATTTTTATAATTCTGTAGCTGGCAGTGCAACCAATATGTTTGCAAACTTTAAAATGATAAATGACCCTTGGACTAAGACCTTTCAAGCTAAACTAATAGTCTGGTGCTAAATTTTGCAGCTGAGTACTATAAATCATCCAAATACGCGTTGGTAATTGAACCCTTGACAGGCCTGGCAGTTCTGTGATGTCTTAAAAAAATATCCTTGCAGCTTTGTGAATAACTAAACGGCAAGCTCATGTGATTTTGAAATGCCCCATGCTGTATATGTAAACACATGCCTAGCGCATCTTCTGCAGTATTGTTTGTAAGTCGTACTGAATGTAGTTGACATCCTCACCTTCCGCAGGCATGAACATAAATAGTTTGATGCACGTTTTTTTTAAGTAACCTGTTTTATGCAGAAAGTGAAGCTAAAAGAATAGGCCTTGGAGCTTGATCTTACACTTTCCTTATTTGGATGTGTTTGCTTTTGTTTTTTCTTAAAGGAACAAGAGCACTCAAGGTGAAGGATAATAATCAACTAGAATCAGCACTTTGAATGAAATTTTGTTTCCCTGTGGCATCTTGAACACTGTCTTCTTCGGGTTTTGAAAGAGACTTATAACTTTGTGGCATAGCAGCTATGCAGCTTGAAATCCAAGTAGCACTCAATTTTATTATTTCATATTTGTACAATAAGCTTCCCAGACGACGTGTCAACATTTTTGGTGAAGAGCTTGAAAGACTTCTTAAGAAGAAGTATGAAGGGCACTGGTATCCAGAAAAGCCATACAAAGGATCAGGGTTTAGATGTATACATATAGGGGAGAAAGTGGACCCGGTCATAGAACAAGCATCCAAAGAGAGTGGTTTGGACATTGATGATGTTCGTGGCAACTTGCCTCAGGATCTTAGTGTTTGGATTGACCCGTTTGAGGTTTCATACCAAATCGGTGAAAAGGGACCAGTGAAAGTGCTTTATGTGGATGATAATGAAAATGGATGTGAGTTGGATAAGGAAATCAAGAACAGCTTTAACCCAGAGGCCCAGGTGTTCATGCCAATTAGTGACCCAGCATCTTCAGTGTCTAGTTCTCCTTCTCCTCCCTTTGGTCACTCTGCTGCTGTGAGCCCAACTTTCATGCCCCGCTCCACTCAGCCTTTAACCTTCACCACTGCCACATTTGCTGCCACCAAGTTTGGCTCGACCAAAATGAAGAATAGCGGCCGTAGCAACAAGGTCGCCCGCACCTCTCCCACCAACCTTGGCTTGAATGTCAATGACCTGTTGAAGCAGAAAGCCCTTTCCTCCTCCATGCACTCTCTCTACGGGCTGGGCTTAGGCAGTCAGCAGCAGCAGCAACAACAGCAGAAGACTTCTGCCCTTTCTCCTAACGCAAAGGAGTTCATTTTCCCCAACATGCAGGGTCAAGGTAGTACCAGTAGCATCTTTCCTGGTGACAGCCCCCTTAACCTCAGTCCTCTCCAGTACAGCAATGCCTTTGATATGTTTGCAGCGTATGGAGGTCTAAATGAGAAGTCTTTTGTGGATGGCTTGAATTTTAGTTTAAACAACATGCAGTATTCTAACCAGCAATTCCAGCCAGTGATGGCTAACTAAAAATAAACCGACAGTGAAATACAAGTAAATACTATTGTACAAGTTAAAATGCACGTACCCAAGGGTGTATCTTTTTTTCCACCTCTTGAGATTTTTTTTTAAGGCTTATAGTAATGAATACATTCAGGCTTGGTTAGATAAATACAACATGCATCATTTTTTTCATTTGCCAACCAAGCACAAAATTATTTTATACTGACTGTACATTACAAAAATATACTCTCAAAATATGGCCTCTTACAGTATTTAAGATATAGCAAGGACGTGGCTAATTTTTTTCATGTGTGTATATATATATGTACACAAACATATATGTGTATATATATTTAAAAAATTGGCACTAATAGGTGGGTTTATTGGTCTTTTTCTAATTGTATAATTTAATTTAGTACAAAGTTTGTAAAATATCAGAGTATATATATTGTTTCTACAACATGGTATTGCATTTATATCTTTTTACTACAGTGATCTGTGACAGCTGCAGCAGCTTCATGTTGTATTTTTTTTACTGAAATTGTAAGATATCCATCTTAAAGACATCAATTCTAAAAAAAAAATAAAAAGTTGTGTACAGAATATTCCTTAGTGGTGGAATTAAAATGTACGAAATATTTGCTTTTTTCAAAAGAAACACAAATTGTATTTTCTGTTAAAAGTTTAAAGATTTTTGCTATATATTATGGAAGAAAATGTAATCGTAAATATTAATTTTGTACCTACATTGTGCAATACTTGAAAAAAGGTATAAAAGTATTTTGAGTCAGTGTCTTACATGTTAAGAGGGACTGAAATAGTTTATATTAAGTTTGTATTAAAATTCTTTAAAATTAATTGACTGTTGCGGTGTGTGTTTTTACTGTTCTGCTGAAGATCAGAGTGCTGCGTTTATTGTGGTGTCAGTGCTAATGATGCAAAAAAGTCTGACTCAGTGCATCACAAAGGAGCGATGGAAAGGGTTGCTGTATTGATGCACCACAATAATGGGTTGCTTTACCTAAAATACTACTGACAAAGCATGTAGCCTGATTAAGTACTTGTCTACAATTATTTGAGCAAACTTTCACTTGTTTTTCATAACTGCAGCTCACTGAAGCCAGAGGTAATTTTATTTTATTTTTTTCCGTGAGAGTTAAGACTGTAAGCTATGTGAATGTTGAGTTATTGTGCAGTATGACGTATCTAGAAGGGACTCAGGTGATTGAATGACATTCACTTCCCATCTCATCAGAATGGATTTGAACTATTATCTGGAGAGGTCCTAGACCAATGCATCAGCGTTCTGTTTCTGTATTGGGGATTAATAGCTCAGAAACAAGACTGAATAAAAGTGCTGATGTACAGTTTACTAAACTCATTGTAAACTTTCATTTTATATGCTCTATTAAAAAAAGAAATGTAATGCAACTACAATGTGATATTCTAAGGTTTTTATTTTAGTGGAATTTACCGATTTTAACTTAGTAGATTCTCAAAACATGAATGTGAGTGGGAGGAGAAAGAATTCAGAGGCTGACAAAACAACTCAGCTTTTCCAGGGCTATTTTGAAGTTGCATCCCTTATTCTTTTCCGGCTGTTTGGGAAATAGTGTTCCTGGCTAATGGACGATGTCAAGGGAAAGAGAAACTTCTTCTTTAGTCCATAAATTTAACAAACTTTGACTTCTTTTCCACAGCAGTTGCAGTTGTACAGAGTAGATACATGCCAAGTGGATAGTCTTTTGGCTGATGATGTTGAATTGTAAGCTACAGGAGGAGTATGGGATTAAAATTATCTTTAGTATTCTGCAACTGGATTTTGAGGCTGAAGATCAGTCTTTTCCTACTCGATGCCCGTGATTTTACAAAAGGTGTAAATTCCACGGACGTGTGCACCCCCAGTTTGGTGCACACAGAGCTTTGGTGGAAATAGTGCTCTGAGGAACAGAGTGTTTTTCACCACCAGCGTGAGATCTTTGGGCAGAGGCTGTGAAGAAATGGACAGGGTGGAGATGCGAGGCTGACAACGCTATCGGTTTCTAATGCCATGAAAACCAGTTCAAAAGCAATAATGGAGCAAAGGGGTTTTTAGGCATTCCTCTGGCTGCCTTCAGCTGGCTGCTTTTTATTGAGTTTGCTGTCTGATTCATCTTTCCACTAATGGCCCATCAGTGGACAGAACCATACTTAGGAGTGCATCACTTGGTATCTCATTTTAAGTGGATGATTTTGCTCTAAAAAGGAATTTGAAAAAAAATTAGAAGAAAATATTCGATCAGTTACTGGAAAATGGAGACTGTTAGCTCTGTGTATTATTTCTATTTCTATGCCTAGGCTTTAAGACTTAGAATTTCCCATTTACAATACAATAATAATACCTAAACTGCCTAGGAGGTTGAGCGACTGACAGTGGAGACTATTCTACGTGTTCTGTAATATTTCTACTCCTGTGACTTAAACTGAGATGATTTGTCTTAAAGGCTTATCCTCTTCCCACGCTGATTTGTTCACTTCCACTGTAACGAGCTCTGCGTATGAAAGGCAGTGGTTTGCAGTAAGGAAGAATCTCTGGAAACAAGGTTGGTTTTTTGCAGCACCTCTTAATATAAAGATTTGAATAAGCTGGGTTGGTTTGTGGTGCTGTGCAAGGAGACAATCTGTAGAGAGAGCTTCCAGTTTTCTTAATGCAAATGGGCAGATTTTGAATGTTTTGCTCCTTATAGAAATTAAAGATGTGCGCTTTCTGTTCAGTCTACTTCACCCATTTATTTATCTTTTGCTAAAGTTTGGTGCTGAATTTGTTAGATCAAACATTTACATTGCAACATTCTGTTCTAAGCGAGTGCCAAGTCAGTCTCTGGTTTACTTTGCACGCACCCAGCACTCTGAGCCGTGCTGTCAGGTAAACGCGTTTGCTGTGAGAGGGAGGACCTGAAAAGGCGTGAAGGGGCAAAAGGAAGCATTTGCTCAGTTGTGCGAGTTCTTTTGTATTTTCTTTCATGAACGCGCAATTTACTGCCGTAAAATTGCCGGTGTAAGTTAAACCTTAGAAGATGTCTTTCATTTACATGGAAGGAAAGGTTAAAACCGTGTCGTCCGTCCCCCCACCAATGCTGCTTAGTGCATCCTGTCTGTTCACTCCAAGTCCCCACTGAAGCGCAAGTTCAAAGCACTTTCATCCGTGAGGCTCACCCAGTTCAGCACAAGTTGGTAACTTTTGCAAATCCTAATCTGAGATCTGCGAAACTGAGTTCAGAGGCACTTGGTGTGGCAGGGCAGGGAGGAGTCGATGGATGGCTACCATCTGTGCTGTGTTTGTTTTGTGGGTAGACGACAGACCTTGATCAGAAGTCTAGTAGCAGTCACCAAAATTAAATGGATCTGATTATTTCTGCAAAGGAGAGCCAGCTCACAGGTGGAGTTCACGATACGTGGTGCTTCCTTACCGCCTCGTGCGGTCAAAGGTCCCTGCTGCGGGTCTGAATCCAGAGGGCACGGGCTGGCGCTGGAGTCTCGGTGAGTACAAGTTTTGTGGTTCTCTTAACTTCAACTAAGCTATCATAATTTAGACAAATCAAGGACTGGGTGTAAGCCACAGGAAGATCCATCCCTCCTTCACCATGCAAAATTAGAAAGCTGTTAAACATTGCTTGTACGGTCTCTTGCTCCAGATGACCGTGGCAGGTGATTACCCAGCTACAGCACGGCTGTCTGGCTGCACCCGCTGCTCCCACCGTACTGCAACGTGCAAAAGCCTCTTAGTAGCAAACAGCCTGGTTGCATTTCTGAAATATCAAATAACCAAACAACTAGTTGTTAAATCAGCTCTTTGGACCGGCTTGGGATCAAACCAGAGTTCATTTACTGATCTGACGCCCCAGACTGTTCTATTAACGTTTCAGGAATAAATACCTCAGAGTTTCTGTTGGTAGTTTTGGAGCAGATGAAGCAAACCGGCGGGTCAGCACTCTTTTTTATATCCTCAGCCAGTTGAGT